CAATTCACAAGCTCTTCTTCCTTTAAATGAAGCTACAACTAAGCATAATCACAAAACTAAAAAATCTCTCATCAACGATAAATCAATAAATACCTTGTTGGCTGCATGCTGCAAAAAGGGAATTAGCTGCCGTTCTTCTGAGTTTTCCTTTAACCGTTTAACTGTGTGGTACCTCACAGGGGTACCACAACAACATCATCCAGGTAGAAAACAGCATATGCAATTTGAGGAAGCAGGTACCGCTCCATGAGGTGCTGAAAATGGCCGAGGCTTCAAATAAGCCAAACGGAAGTGTGACGAATTGGTACGAACCATACAGAGTGGAGAAGGCCGTTTTTGTCTTTGGACTCTGCAGATAAGGGAATCTGCCAGTAAGCGTTGGTTAAATCCAGCATCATAAAATAAGACAAGCAGTGCTTAACCAGTCCAGGTCAACTCAGGCATTGGACAAGCATCAAACCATGAGACCTTGTTCACTTTCTGATAATCATCACCAATGTTCCCTCTAAACTGCGCGTGTGCTCAATTGCGCACTGCTGGCACGGTCTCTGTGCAGAAAAAATCCGTGTTGCACATAAAGTAAAATTCTAACCGGAATTGAAATTAAAGTGAATACGTTAACAATTCTGTTTTGCAGTGTTAGTCAGTAAGTGACTGGCTGCTCCAGTATGGGATTAGAACAATGGCACCTCATCCCATAGTCCAGCCAATCACGTGATTCAAATTCGTATATGCGCAGCTAATCAACGTCGTTGACAGGCTATGAGAGCGTCCTTATGTGCCGAAACTGGTGTTTTAGCTAGCAAAGTGGCGTGGCTAATGTGGAGTGAAGCCACGTTAATGACAACGTGTACAACCATTGGAGATGTGAGCAGGACAGATGGAACAAGTGACGTAAAAAGAGTGGACTTTATACCAGGTTTCAAATTGTGTTGATAGGCCACATAAAAAACAGAGTTGTGATTAAAAAAAAATCCAGTGTTTGGTTTCTTCCAGAATATTGTTGTTTATATTTACTGGGGAAGAAATGGTAAAAACGTCATTTTATAAAGAAAACGTTATAAAGCACTCTCCGCCTGAGAGCAAAGACAAACCAAAACACCCCACCCTTTCCCATTGGTCAAAAAATGTACCATGCCGACCAATGAAACATGGCATTTGGTTGTTAAGAAACGGAAGTTGTTAAGAAGAGGAAAATTTAGGAGTGACGGCAGTGTTTTGAGATGTGAGATTTGCAACGTTTAGCGCAAATCTTGTATAGTTAGTGTGTAGTGTAGTCAATAGTTTTGTTGTGTGTGTCAGAACAATGAGGCGGCTGCTAAATGTTACAGGAGTGATACATCTCCTGTTGTCAGGCCTGCAGGTATCAGGCTTTTGATGTTCTCCTTTATCTCATAGTGGACAGAAATTATTTTTTGGAGAGGCACAAATAATTTGTGTGGCATCAGATTTGATGCAGAACACCTGATTGTTCTGTAAATAGTTTGAAATGTTTGTTTAAAAAAAATCCCTTAGCAGCATTTTTGGTAACAGCTGCAAAAATCTTTGTTGTTTGCAATACTCAGTAACTTTTTTGAAGAAGTAACTATATAATTAATTGCCCAGCATTGGTCTTTATATATTGTATTTTGCAGAGAGAGTTACAAAGTTTCAAAGTGGTGCTCCATGAGAGTCCTGTAGACGAGCAGCAGCACAATCCTGCATTGCAACTGCAAACCGCTGTTGCAATGCAGGAACATCTGCTTTATTGGAATGTGTGAGATGTTAACCACAATGACTCTTAAAAACACTGTCTCAAAGCTTCATGCCAACAGCATGTTTTTAAGAAAATCAAACATATGTTCTTTCAAGATCATTTTAGAGTTTTTAATGAGCTGCAGGATCCTTCTTCAGTGTGAGTTGAGAACAGCCAAGTCGCTCCTGTGATAAACCTCCACATGTACCACTGAAAACAGTTAAATTAGTTTGAATCAGAAATAATGGGTCAAACTACTTGTTCTGAGACCATTTCTTTATTTTTCACACCAAACTGTTTAATAAGATAATAAGATAAACTCTACACAGACTTCATCAAATATAACTAACACTTTAACATTATCAGGATTTCATAATACAAACTTCAAATCAACAAGAAAACAGCTGCAGAACATGTGGATCAAAATTCATTAAAAAACAACATGTGGACTTCAAGGACTAAATACACTAAAGTGAAAGGAGGAGCAAAAAAATAGAGGTTTAACAGAATTTGAATTACGTAAAAGTAGTCACCTGTGATCTTTAAAATGGTTCTGATGTGTGCTGCTGTTTTTAACTTTCAACATTTCTTTGCTGCCACTGTGAATAAGATTGTGCTCTTTGCCTAATTGAATAAAGGTTACACTGACTCACTGCTCCATCTTCTGGTACAAACTGGCATTACATGGAAGTACAGCCCAAAACCAGTTCAGCTTGAGTTTCTTTTTTTCTGGACATAAAGTCACAGCAGGTGTTGTTTCAAAGCTGGTGAACAGATTTAGTTCATTTTGGAGGTTTTAAGAGCAACTGCTGTGAAAATATTTGTAGTTTTGGGAGAAAAGGATTTAAGAGAAGATTTTACAACAGCAAAAGGTTAAATATGAATGAAGGATTGAAATTTAACAGAGGTAACACATTAAATGAATACATTACCCCACATTAAGTTAATTTTGGAAACACTAAGAAAGTTCAAATAAAAGAAATTGAAATATATATCCATATCTGCAATTCTGATACATTATTGGTTTGGTAAAAAAGACATTCCTATAACTTTAATAATACAGTAACAAGTACAACTACTAAACACTACTGTGTCCTAAGGGAACAAAGATTAAAATGTAACAGAGATAATTTTAGAGAATTAAAATCCCCCAAAGGAAAAAAAAACTTGATATGCATATCTATGCATATCTATACATGCAGCTTCCTAAATGTAACATTCAGAATTATTCACTGCAGCTCCAGAAATCAGAGCTACCTCATCAGATCCAAGTGTGGCATCAGCTGACACTCTTTACAGGAGATTCCATCTGAACTCTGTGGAGCCTGATCTCAAGGTTTTTAAGTCTGACCTGAAACAGAAGAGGATCTTTCTCTCTCTTCAGATTCATTGTGATCCAGTGATTTCAGTCCTGCATGATCAGGCTGATGTTTGCACAGAGCAGATAATGAAGTGAAGGTTTTGCACATTGGTAACAGTGAACAGTTTATTTACAGCGTGGGATCGTTTGTGTTCGGAGTATGAACTGAGATTCCTGAAACTCTTGTCACACTGGTCACAGCTGAAGTTCACTTCCATGTGTGTACGTTCATGTTTGTTACGATGACCTGATTGTGAGAAGCTTTTGTCACAGTGTCTGCACTTGTATGGTGTCCCTCCTGCAGTGGTGAAGGATTACCCACACTGGTCACAGATGTGCTTTTTGAAGAGGTCATGTATTTTTAATGTAGTCAAAGGAGCTTGCAAAGAAAAGCGTCAGGACTTCTTTAAGTTGCTTGAAGACGTTTCACCTCTCATCCGAGAAGCTTCTTCAGTTCTAAGGTCAAATGGTGGAGAGTCCCAGATAAAACCTAGTGGGAGTGACCCCACAGAGGGACAAACGGACCCCCTGATGATCCTCTAATCACCTGAGCCAAGGTGTGAAATTGGGTGTGGGACCAAATCAGCCAGAGTTTCGGGTGTGTTCATTGTTAGTGTTGTGGTCTTGTTAGTCTTGTCCTGCTACACAGGACAAGACTCAGCAGTCCATCTGCATCTTAAGGATAAAGGACACTCTTTCGAGGATGCCAATGTTCACATTTTGGACAGAGAGGACAGATGGTTTGAAAGAGGAGTGAAAGAAGCCATCTATGTCCACTGTGAGCGACCATCTTTGAATAGAGTCGGGGGTTTACGACACCAACTCTCTGCCATCTATAATCCAGTTTTGAGATCCCTTCCCAGACGCCTTAACGCCCACTCACATCCTGGGCCATCTGACCTCAGGAATTTGCATGACAAGGTGGGGCCAGGTTTCACAATGAACACACCCGAAACTCTGGCTGATTGGGTCCCACACCCAATTTCACACCTTGGCTCAGGCGATTAGAGGATCATCAGGGGGTCCTTTTGTCCCTCTGTGGGGGTTACTCCACTAGGTTTTTATCTGGGACTCTCCACCATTTGACCTTAGAACTGAAGAAGCTTCTCGGATAAGAGGTGAAACGTCTTCAAGCAACTTAAAGAAGTCCAGACGCTTTTCTTTGCAAGCTCCTTTGACTACGATGACCTGGATGACTGAGAACCTTCACAGACATTTTTTTAATGTACTTGGTGTGTGGAAGCCTCTCCCACATTCGTTGCAGTAGTTCATTTTGTCTCCAGTGTGTCTACGTTGATGTGGTTTTAGGTCCCGTTCGTGATTGGAGGTTTTTCCACAAAGCTCAAAGAGAAACGTTTTCCCACCACCACAGTGACGACAGGGTTGAGAAATGGATCAGTGTGCTTCGCTCCACTCCTAAACAAAGACATTGTAAATCAGAGAATTCCTTCAACGTTTTTATCCTGAACGTCGCCTGAAATAAAAAGCATCTCTGCCAACGTCCAATTACATTTTACTGTTTACACTATAAAACTCAGGTTACTTCTTCATTTTTCCAAACAGTTCATTCAGTATAACTCCATAAGTTTACTGATCAGACTTTTTCCAAACAATCAGGTTAAAATTACAAGATAAAAAATCAATACATCCTCACAGTAACTGCACTTCTAGAGTTACTTTCTGGAGTGGATCTGTTGGTGTTTTTTCAGCTGATTTGGAGCTTTAAAAGTCTTCTCACACAGTAACATTTATAAGGTCTCTCCTCAGTGTGTTGTTGTAACTGTGCATCTGTTGTAAACAGTTTCCCACACTGATCACAGCAGGAAACATCAATTCCAGTCTGAATCCGTAGGTGAATATTTCGGTACCGTTTGTCACTGAAACTTTTTCCACAAAGTCGCAGCTCTACGCCTTAATTCCAGAGTGGGTAACTAGATGCCTGTGTAAGTCGCTATTTAGAGCAAAAGCCTTACCACACAACTCACAGTTGTGTGCTTTAAGTCCACTGTGGATGAGTTGGTGTTTTTTTAAGGTTCCAGCCTGGGTAAAAGACTTTCCACACAAGTCACAGCTGTAAGGTTTAACTCCACTGTGGATGAGTTGGTGTTTTTTCAAGTGTCCAGCCTGGGTAAAAGACTTTCCACACAAGTCACAGCTGTAAGGTTTAACTCCACTGTGGATGAGTTGGTGTTTTTTCAAGTGTCCAGCGTCGGTAAAAGACTTTCCACACAAGTCACAACTGTAAGGTTTAAATCCACTGTGGATGAGTTGGTGTTTTTTCAAGTGTCCAGCCTGGGTAAAAGACTTTCCACACAAGTCACAGCTGTAAGGTTTAACTCCACTGTGGATGAGTTGGTGTTTTTTCAAGTGTCCAGCCTCGGTAAAAGACTTTCCACACAAGTCACAACTGTAAGGTTTAAATCCACTGTGGATGAGTTGGTGTTTTTTCAAGTGTCCAGCCTGGGTAAAAGACTTTCCACACAAGTCACAGCTGTAAGGTTTAAATCCACTGTGGATGAGTTGGTGTTTTTTCAAGCTTCCAGCCTCGGTAAAAGACTTTCCACACAAGTCACAGCTGTAAGGTTTAACTCCACTGTGGATGAGTTGGTGTTTTTTCAAGTGTCCAGCCTGGGTAAAAGACTTTCCACACAAGTCACAGCTGTAAGGTTTAACTCCACTGTGGATGAGTTGGTGTTTTTTCAAGTTCCCAGCCAGGGTAAAAGACTTTCCACACTCATCACAGCTGTAGGTTTTCTCTCCCTTTCTTCTGTGAGGTTTGTCGGCCTCCTGAGAGCGCTGACTTCTCGCTCCATGTTGGTCCTGCAGTGACAGAGATACAAACAGAGGCAGTGAGTGAAATGCAGTCGTGGAACAAACTGAAACTCCCTTCATTGGTGGAATCAAACATGTCAACAAACACATTGTTGGTGTGTTTCCACCACCTTCTGGTGGCAGTGTCACATTACAATGATGTGCTACAATGAGAGTTGTAATGAAAATGACATTATTGAAGAAATATTGATCAGCAGAGAAAATCTTTTACGCATAAGAAATTTCAAGTTCAACTGATGATATTGTTGTTTCAATGTGTGCTTATAAAATATGATCTTTGTATTTTCTTGTAACTTCTGTTACAAGAAATTAGAACTCTGAACAATATTTAAACTCCATTCAGAGTTACATACCATAAAATAATACTTTATGATTAACATAACAGTTTGATTGCTCTAATTACCTGTATTTACCTTGTGACATATTACAGGGCAAATTACATTCTGGGTACAGTTACATCACAAAACATCAACTGTGAACACCTTATGTTACCGTGGCGTTTAAGTCCATGGGAATTATGAGTATCTACTCCCAAATTCCCATCCGGGCTACATTATTATCGGTTCATGGTATCGCTTAACTTTTACGAATATGAGTACACACACATTTTACAGTATCGGCCCCAATACCCGATACCAGCAACGGTATCGGTGCATCCCTAATTGTAACTGTGATATTTTTCTCACCTTTTGTGTTGAAGTCATTGATTGTTTCCTCTGTAGTGGCTGAGCTGAGTCCAAATGGATGAAATTGTTCCTCCGTTGCACCACCAGACTCTTCTCCTCCTGTTAATCACCTGGGGGACACACACGCAGCAGGATTTGTAAAAAGAGTTTTGATAAACACAATGCTGGACAGCAATGCTGTCATGTACATATACATATATACATGTCTATATACATATACATGTCTATATATATATATACATATATAAATAATAACACCCAGCACGCCCCTGCGGGCGGTTTATCCTTCAAGCTTGGGTCCTCTACCAGAGGCCTGGGAGCATATATATATATATATATATATATTATATTATATATATATATATATTATATTATATATATATGTGCAGATCCATAGAGGCTGGGGTCTATCACACCAGGCAAGACCCCAGGTGCAGGCTGTGTAAAGATGCCCCAGAGACAATCCAGCACATAACAGCAGGGTGCAAGATGCTAGCAGGCAAGGCATACATAGAACGCCATAACCAGGTGGCCGGCATAGTGTACAGGAACATCTGTGCCGAGTATAACCTGGAAGTCCCGAGGTCAAAATGGGAGATACCCCCAAGGGTGGTGGAGAATGACCGAGCTAAGATCCTGTGGGACTTTCAGATACAGACGGACAAAATGGTGGTGGCTAACCAACCGGACATAGTGGTGGTAGACAAACAGAAGAAGACGGCCGTAGTGATCAACGTAGCGGTTCCGAATGACAGCAATATCAGGAAGAAGGAACATCATATGTCACTGCATTCTTCTGCACATATGGCTTCACTCTCTTTTGCTGTGGTGGTTCCAGTTCACGAGCTCCTCTTCCTTTAGTGTTGGGGAGTAACGGAATACATGTACCGCCGTTACGTATTTAAAATACAAAATATGAGTAACTGTATTCCGTTACAGTTACCGTTTATAAAGGTGGTATTCAGAATACAGTTACTTTGTTGAAATAAATGGATTACACTGCGGTACTTTCCTGTTTCATTTTGTCGCGGGTCAGGACTGTTTGGGTTTTGTTTGACAGCTACGTTCTGTTGTTCCAGGCGGCAGCGTTACGGTTGCCATGGTTACAGGGCGACGCTCTCTTGCTCTCTGCGACTGTGTGTTTCCTGGGTGAGAGAGCGCCTTTTCGTTGTTGTTGTGCTAAGCTAACAGGCAGAATGCTACAAGCATAGCTCTAAAGAATGTAGCATCATGGGCAGTGTAGTCCGTGTTGCAGGGAGAATGGACTGCCATACACATTATGGGTCTGTGAGCGCGAGGAGGGAGAAAAGGGGGAGTGGAAAAGTACGAGCTGTCATCGAGGAAAATGGGAGCTGGAAGCATGTAAATATAATAATAACCACTTCAGCCAAGAAGAGTGCCTGACGAGCCCAGTTGTAAGTAAGCTATTAAGACTCGACTGTACACCTTGTTCGTGTTTTCCTCCGAAAACAATAAGTTCTGTTGGAGCAGTCTTTCAACGCCTCTCTCTGTCTCTCGCAAGAAAAGTTGACCCACACAACAAAGTAAAGCTATTTTTCGGCTACGAGCCGACAGGGACCCTGCCGTATTAGTCAGAGGTCCCTTTACTACAGTTCGGAGTCGCGGACCTTCAGTAATAGTAATGAATCACCCAGCAATAGTACATTCACGTTGTTGTAAAAAGCATGATAATATATTAAGTAATCCAAAGTATTCAGAATACGTTAATGTCATTGAGTAACGTAACGGAATACGTTACAGAATACATTTTGGGGCATGTATTCTGTAATGGAATAGGGCTTTGGAGCGTGATGTCACGGGGGTGGGCGTGGAAAGGATTTTGGCCCGATCCGCCATTTTGGGGGTCTAGCGCAAGTGAAAAGGGAGCGAAGGCACAGACAACAGCCATGGTTCGTATTTGCTGTGTGGTCGGCTGCAATGTTCGATCGCACGACCAGCAAGAAAATAAGCTTGAAAATGGTTTATCTTTTCATTCTTTCCCAACCTGGAAGCAACACGAGGCAGCTCGTGTATCGATGTTACCAAACAAAGGCGTCTAGCCTGGAGAGCAGCTGTGAGACGAGCTGACGTGCAGTTCTATTCCATCTCCAAATATCTGTTGGTGCTCCAGACATTTTCATTCCGGTAAGTTCTAAATATGTTCATATCAATCTTTATAGCCTATTAGTTTTATTTTCTATGCGCTCTGAGCTCATAGCAAATGACAACAAACATTCTACTGAGTGATTTTGCAGAACTACCTTCTATTTATAGAGTTGCTAATTATTTGGCATTATTGCAGCAAACCAGCCTATTAAATGGATGAATCACATCGTGACTGGGTTCCAGTGCTACACAAGGGACCTGCTTCAAACATACCACCATGCCAATCAGATTACTTCTTCCTTGTGAGGGTGAAGAGGTGACCCTTCTGGATAAGATGGTGAAGGTTTGCTGCGTTTTGGTGAACAGTGTGATAATAAAACCAGGGAAAAATGAAACCTGCTCCTGTTAAATACTCTTAAGTCTTGTGCTGTTAAAATTGCTGTATTTTTTCAAAAGATACAGTAAATAAAGTAATGTTAGTAGTGAGTGATATCATGTAAACACTCGTGATTTTGTGTAAACATTTTGTCATTTGTAAACTATAAAATCATTTTTCTTCTTTGGCTCTCAGCGAAGGCGGTCGCACTTTTCTCCTCTCCTCCTCACCCTTATCTTCCCTGCTTAGCCTCTATGTCCTTGTCTGTTTCGTGTGCATTACTTTCCCTGGAATAGACTCACACGGTCATTCTCTAAAACCTAAAAGAGAATTATGGATTTGATTAACTGGTCTCTGAATGCTATTGACACCCTTTTCTCAACGAGAAGTCTGGGCTCGGGAGAGCCCGAGTGCCCTGGAGGGACTTTCCCTGCCGGATACACGATGGACGGGTGGCAGAACTGGAGAGTCATGTGTCTGGCGGGACTGTCGATCGAGGACGCTGAAGATATCTATCTATTCGGAACCATGATAACAGGGTTCGTGCTGATCGGAGTTGGCTTGGCCCTGGTTTATCGGAGAAATAAGAGAGCGGAACCGGCTGTTCAAACCCCCCTAAGGCTGCCCGCTGGAATTGAAGAGATGAGATGAGGCGCGACCTCTCACAACGAACGTAATATGGTCAACACCTTGGAGATGCTTACAGCTGCTGTGAAGGCTCAAGCGTATGGGGGGAAACATCAGAGAGAGGCCTGCTCAAAATGAGACCCTTGAGCGACAGTTGGACGACATCACGGAACAGATCACTGCAGCTGTGAGGTCTCAGAATCAAAAGAATGGCAACACCATGGAACAGAAGTTTGATATCATCATGGGGAGGATCGTGGCTCTCCAACGGGAGATCGAGAGGCCAGTGTCGGAGTGTTAGGGCAGCCAAAAATTCTCCTGGGCTGCTCGCATGGAAATTTACAAAATCAACATTGAGATTGCGGACCCCATAACGGCACCAGCTGCAGGCCAGAGGCTGGAGCCGAACAATCACTCCCTGATAACGACTGTGTTACGGCTATTCTTCCCATCCCATGCAAGGACACCTGGATTGGCTGGAAGACTATTTACTTAGCCTGATAGGCCGAAGGACACTGTCTCAGCTAAACTATGGACACGCACACACACACACTTACACTGATAAGCACTCACTCATCCCCCCTCCCTTTCCAACGCCTTCGATGCTTGTGCCCTAGATAGCAGTCAACTGGACCAGCACAGATGCTGCAGGACCGGATGCGCTGTCTACACCGGCTCTCTCTTACCCTTTACCCGCCCCTGTTGCTTGTCTCGTGTTTCTATGGTGTATTGATAGTCATGTGCTTTTGTGCTGAGGTGTTTTTTCTGTTATCAAACTGTTCTCCCACTAGGAGCTCAGTCTGAGTGGAGTTTTTTTTCTCCTCCTCTTACCTCATGTAGTGTATTTTCGTTGTTTTTTCCTTTCAGCCTACCTTCTGACATGTCTGCCCAATGTGATGCTTGTGTAAAGTTGGTCAGAAGGTTCCTTTGTGAGTGCGCATGCGCCATTAGCGTGCTGCCTGCTGTAACCCCTAATTTCCCTCGGGATGAATAAAGTATTCTGATTCTGATAAATGACATGGATTCTACATTGTAACTGATGTGATGTTCTATAAGGTGGTTTCAATAAAATTAAAAAAAAGAGGCAAAAATTAGTTTGTTTCTTTATTCAACTTTTGAACAGTGGG